GAGCGGTTGATACCAGGTGATATAAGAGGTCAGAAAAATAGAGTCCTTGAGGTGAAGATTGCGAATCATTGCCTGGTGCTTTTCGAGTGCGTGGCGGGCCGTGGTAATGCGCTCCTTGCTAATGGTGGTTTCAAGGCTGTGGGGTGGGGTGGCGCGGTGGATGAGCGTCAGCATGGAAAACCGCTGGACGTCCCCGGTCATGGCCGTGTGAATGGCGGTCTCGCGATCATTGTGATCCACTGCATGACGAATCCAATTATCCTAGAATATATATGCGGTGGTACCAATCATGAGCCCATCGGAACCAACAGACGCGGAACATTTTCGAAGTCCTTACCCTGATGGTGTGGGAAGCTTCGATCAGATCATTTAGCTCCTGCGACAACGTGGCCACTCGGACCCGCCGTGCATTGGCCGGCAGACCAAGCGCCCCGGCGCAATATAGCTGCTCATAGATCCTTCCCGCGAGACTGGCAACCATGACCGTGTTGCCGAAGTACGCGAGAGCCGACTCACCCGCCATTGATGCTTGGGGCGGGGCCAAGGTCACATCGTCGTCCTGCAAAGACGAGGTCCGGCCTAGCCGCAGGCATAAGAACCTTTCCAGCACATAGATCGCCCAGAAGAGAAGCCCTTTGGAGTTGAGGGTGTTCGAGAGGTCTCTCGTGCCGACTGAGCGAGTGTGGAACCCGAGTGTGCGAGCATGCTGGGATGCCATGCCCACTAGATTCCAGGAGAGGGAGGGGTTCAGGATGTCCACGGCATACGTGGCCTGATAAACATATGATGATCAGTTGCCCCTTTCCATGCGCAACGGTACATTCATCGGGCTGGAAGGCCTACCGCAAAAAAGAGCGCCAAGGTCAGGTCGTGGCTCGCCTTCATGCATAGCGGCAGCCCTGCCAGTGCGGTCTCGATGTTCGCCTGACACATGGAGTAATACCATTGATACTCGGTCAGGGTGTCAGGCGGCGACCCGAAACTCTTTCGCACGAGGACCACCTCTAAAATCAACGCTGTTGTGGGATCCTCAGCTGGACATTTCAATTCCGTAGGGAAGGGAAGGAAGTTGAGGGAAATCGGTACCGTATAGAGCAACATTCACGATAATAAACTCGGCATCGGAATAGGTCTGCGAGAAGTAGACTCTCAAGCACAGATCGGACAGGCTTTGTGATGCGAGAAGCATTTCGAACACCGAGACCGAGGGTTGATTCCCATCTATGAAAGATCAATACCGCCCGTAGTATCGTCCTGACGATGGGCCCACCTCACCCTTCGCATTCTGTAGGACAAAAACCATCTTTTCCAATAGAGGCATTTGGGCGGACCTGGCTCGAGTCTGGGGCTGGCATGCCAGGGGGAATAAGAGCCTGGGCGAGGCGCGCTGGTCATGATAGGCCTCGACGATGTGACGGAGGGTCTGCATGAGTAGAAAGGATTGGTAGGATTTATAGGATTGATCCACAAGTCTCTGCATCTTGGGTCGCCTCACGTTCCGCGGCTTGCGCTTGTGAAACTTATCAAACTAATGGAATGAATATATAAAACATTATTTCTATGTAATGAGTCCCCACTCCCCACTCTGCACAAAGTTGTTTTTGTACCTTCACCTTTTCGGGATTTAGAATTTACTTAACCCCCGGTAGAGAGTCAGCGGTCTCGATTTAGATTTAAAGGCTGTAAACAAGTAGCTGAATATGCCCAGGTCTCCGCGTTTCATAGTCTCTCTCCCGACTCAGCCAAACCCTTTGCAGAATCCGAAACTGCACAAATTTGAACTGATCCGTGTTCACAAGACATCAGTTGGGTAGAGATGGGTCTCGAGTACGAAGACGCTCCCAGGAGAGAAGCGCACGAGCACGATGCAAACTCTTTTCGGGCATGGGAGAAAGAAGAAAAGCCCCGACCTCGTGCACTACACTCCGCCATTGCCGCTAAGATCCGAATAGAGAATCTTTCGATATGCGACTCCAACAGAATACACCATGCAGGTCGTCGCCGCCGCATTGGCTTCCGGCGTTGGCATGGCACTGGTGAATCTCGACTTCGGCCGATTGCTCACCCTCATCACCGCGTATACCACGGGCGCGTCTTCGGACGAGGCCTTTCGAAGGGACGCGAGTCGCTTGCCGTCAGTTTCCTACTCTACCCTTGGCCTTGCCTAGGGTATCCTGCACATCGTTCATTCGAGGATTGATAGACGCTGACCAGCCCGCCGACCAGCCTCTCCTTCCTCATTGGCCTTGCCTGGTTTGCCCTGACGTATGGGTACAGCACGTTGCTCACCCTGGCCGCGTTCCGCCTCACCCGTAACATCCGCCATGCATACGTCAAGGCGGGATTAACACAGGAAGCGGCCTTCTTCGACGCGGGATCCGGGGTCGCCATCGCCACGCAGGCGCTCTCCAATGGCCGAAGCATTCAGACCGGCATTTCCGAGAAGCTGGGCCTGGTGTTTCAGTCCGGGTCGACGTGCATATCCGCCGTGGGCTTGGCCTTCGCCACCCAGTGGAATTTGACGCTCATCTGCAGCTGGATCGCCCCTGCTACCTTGATGGTGATGGGGGTCACCGCCGGCCTGGACGCCTCCATCGAAACTCGCGTTTTGAAGCTTCAAGCACAGGCGGGATCGTGGGCTCACAGCATGCTCGGCAGCCCTCGGACTGTCCACGCCTTTGGGCTGCGGTCACGGCTGCTGCGAGAGCTCGACACCCTTCTGCGGCAGGCCCAACAGCTTGGACACCGGAAAAGTCCGGTGTACGGGTTTATGTTCGCGGGGGGATATGCCATTGCTCATGCGGGATTTGCGCTCTGCTTCTGGCAGGGTATCGAAGAATGTGCGCGGCGCAGAATCTTGACCCGCGGCAGCCCCATCAGCTTCATGGCGCTGTTTCTTCTGATGGTATTCTCTTATCTCACTGAATCTGCTAAGCTTAGGCAAATTTATTTAGTCATAAATTGCATTAGGTTTACTCGAAATATTGTACTGTTAGGGTATTTGAGGTCGAAGGGATTCTTATGTTAGGGTAAGCTGAGGTCGAGTAGGAGTTTAAGTAGGAAACAGCCTGTTAGGCAGTAATAATCATTGATATGGAAACACGATATAGAGATCGGATCATTCAAAATTAGGCCCAGTAGCTCGCTATACAATCAATGATAGCATGCTGTTCTGTTCATCCAGAATTAATCCAGAACAAAGCCGCATTCCATAGATAGCCCGAAAACAACTTCCAAAATATGCCACGCTGAGAGGAACAAGACAAGATCATCGCGTACCATACAATTTGTAAGGTATTATACCTCGGAGGGGATGCTGCAAACTTTCGTTGATCACAATTCTCCATCGAATATTGTGCTTCATTGTGGGTACTCATTATGATTCATTCTGACTGAGTCAACTGCGCGGGCTGCACTAACCCCAAAATAGACCCCGCCTGGAATTACCGAGACCTTAAATAAAATCTCACAAAGCGGGGAACTTAGCACCACAACACCTACCGCATTCTTCCAAGACTTGACGACATAATATCAATGGCGACGGAGTCTCATGCCATTGTCTTCGGGGCAGCTGGACTGCTCGGATGGGCGACCTTGAACCAGCTGCTCTCGGAGTACCCCTCGCCAGGCCAATTCTCTCGTGTCACTGCGGTGCTCAATCGGCCCGTCGCAGAGCCCGACCTCTGTTTGCCTTCAGGGCCGAACAGACCTTCTTTTGAGCTAGTTTCGGGGATCAATCTGCTACAAACAAGCACAGATGATCTGGCGAAGCAGCTCAAAGAAAAGGTCCCTGGCGCGGAGGGGATAAGCCACGTCTTCTATTTCGGTAGGCGTTGGTCGGAAGCAGGGCTAAGATGACGATATGCTAACATGAATCAGTCTTTGCGCCACTCAACGACGATTATATCCAAGAGTGCACCCAGAACTGCGGTATCATGCAGCGACTGGCCGACGCATTGAACATCGTCGCCCCAAGACTCCGATCGTTCGTGTATTCCGGCGGATCAAGAGTAAGTAGGCATTTAGTCACATGTCGGGAGTGTGAGGCTAACATCAGCAGGGCTACGGCATCTACAATCCCGAGGGTGTCTTCCAGCCACCACTCGAGGAATCAATGGCCGACACCCTGCCGGAAGACTACGCCAAGACTGTTGCATATCCGTGGTTCAGAAAGATTCTGACCAAGGCCAGCAAGGGTCGCAGTTGGACCTGGACTGAGGTCTGTCCGGATGCCGTGGTTGGGTTTTCCCCCAACGGCTCCGCGTACTCCCTTGCTCTCCACTGGGCGCAGTACCTTTCGTTATACGCCTATAATCACAGAGGCTCCGCCGACAAAGCGGTCGAGGTTCCGTTCCCTGGGAGCGAAGCTGGGTATCGGTCGCTGTATACGCCTGTGTCGGGTGAGATTCTCGGTCGCATTGCAATCCATGCCGCACTGCATCCAGAATCATGTGGTGGGAAGATCGTCAACATGCTAGATAGCGATACGCCTGTCAGCGCTAGCGACCTCTGGCCGGGCATCGCGGCCTGGTTCGGGCTGAAAGGGGTGGGACCAGCGGAAGACGACACTCTGAAACCAAGTGAATATATCGACCAATACCGCCATCTGTTCGCTCAAAATGGGGCTCCAAAGGCACTGACCTGCGGGGTTGGCGAGGGGAAGAAGCAGTTAGATTCCGTTGGGTGGTGGCTCACTTTTGACCGACAATTCAGTTCCAAGAGATTGAGATCGGTGGGATTTACAGAGCAGCGAAATCCGGTTGATGGCTGGTTGGAAGCATTTGAGAGATTTCGGGAGGCGGGAATTATCTTTTGAATTTTTGTGTCGCAGTACTGTTATATGTACAGCTGCTCACAGACTCTGTTTGGAATTGTCATTCCGAGAATGAATTTATGATCCCAGCTTCCCTTAGTACTATCAGGGGTTGGTATAAATTGACACATCACAAACGTTCCAAGGACCATAGAATCTTGATACTAGCGCCACCCACCTTCCACTATCCAACATATTCTCGGGTGAAATCAATTCCATTCGTAGCGATTCCCCCTGGATTCCGTACGACATGATACGATATGCGCAAGTTCAAGATCGTAAACCTCTAGTGTCGTTCCTCGGAGAATATGAGAGATGGATCCTTCCAAGTGGCTCGTGCGGTGGTTAGGGCTTGAAAATCACGTTCCCAACACCAGCAGCAATTATATGCTTTTATTGCTCCTCTCTAGTGTTTGCAACACGCCTATCGCGGGTAGATGTATTATGCTAGGCTTCCGGCTTTTACCTATTTTTATCAGTGGCCAAATTCCTGTCCAGAACGGACATATCTTTATCCACAAGATAGGAACCTTAAACAGAGATAGGTCTGACCCTCAACTTTGTCGAGGGCCTGGTGACCATTAATGCGAACGTGCTGTCTTGCCTCCGCATACCTCCCTGGAATCCGTTGGAGGAGTTGAAGACGTTCAACTATGGTCTTATAGATCCATTTTCGAACCTGGTGCCGAGGCTCAAGTTCGTGTTCCAAGCTGTCAGAGAGTAAGCCCTAATGAATGACACCTACGCGCGTTCTGGCCGCGTTCAAGCCACACGCCGGGAGGTTAGCAGTTGGGTGGGTACCTAGTCACCACAAGCCAATCCCCCCTTTAGTATGTGTTTCTCCCTGATTCTTTTGTGACTGCTTGGGTAAGATCATTGCATTTCAGTTTGGCTATCAGCGAGCCGAGCTGTAGCACAATTTCAGCTTTTTTTTTTTTTATTTTTTTTATTTTTTTTTTACTACAGCCACGAGGAGAAAGGAGCCGGCTGCTGCATGACAGTTCCACATGGCGTCCAATTTCCTTGACCCCACACCGGATCGATTTCAACTTCGTCGCCCACGGAATCAAGATTCGGGCCGCGTCGTGACTCGCCGTAGAAACTGCTGATCGTATTCGGTACGGGCGGCTCCACCACGCGCAACTTGGCCCGCCAAGCGAAGGGTTCGAGTTATCTTCCTTGGCTTTTCCCGAAGATCGACACCGCAGATCCTGCTTTTTGCTCCCCCTGAATGATCAATTTCCTAATCCGGATCATGGCTCGATAACTCCTGATGCGCATGAAGAATCACAGATCCGACCGAGGGCGATAATAGGGCTGGCTCGGGAGCGAGCGTAGGCCCAGACGGTTGAATCCATTTTTTCTCATGGAGATTTGAAAAACCAATACATCAGAAGCCTCAACATAGGCGTAAACAGAGGATGAAAATAGCCATGTCTGGAAAATGGAAACTCTAGACCCTCAACCCCATTATCTAAGATGCTAGAAAAACCCTGCCAGCCTTTTATTGGCTCTCCTTGCGTGCAGGACAGATTACAATTACGGCGCCCTGACGATCGCGATTTAATTTTCCGAAGACTATCGAACCTATTCATTAACTATCTTTGCGTCGTGATCCGCGTAGGTTAAAACCCCACATCGGGCGAATTGCCCGGAGGTACGGAGTAGAGGGTACATATACCTCCGTCTGCATCTTCAGCGGGGCTAGGAGGAAAGACGAGAGATGCTAGATTGCATCGATCACGATCTTGAAGATGATGATGGAGAAACAGCCTTTGGACAATACTGTGTCATGCTCACCACCAAGCTCCGAGCGGTCACTAGAGCAGCAAATGGAGCTCTCACCGCTAGAACTGTCCTTCTCGCGCCAGCTCGAGGTGTATCTGACGGTTGCGTTGCCGGTCAAACTGACGCCGGAGGAATGTCTGGCGGCGACACGACAAATGATTACGGAATATCCGATCCTGGGTACAAGATTGAATACAAAGGCGGGTTTTGCGCAGCCACACGAACGACGTTTACATTTCTAAGTAATGCTAACTTCACACGGTCACGCAGCGCTCGAGATTTGTCAAGGGAAATTGCACTTCCAGCAAGCTCGGGACAATCTTTCGCGCGAAGACAGTTAATCTGCGCCTGGACGAGTTTGTACCGTCGAACACCGCTGAATTGTGCTCGACCGAAGCCGAGCCCGAGCCTGTCTTTTACGACCCCCAGATACTGGAGAAACTGGTTCGGTTCAAGGGAGGAAAGCACGATGGTCGACAGGCACTGTCCATCCAAACAGTGCATCTGCGCGATGCATGTGTCATCCAATTCATCGTTCAACACGCATTATCCGACGCCGGGGGTACGCTACTCGTCCTCGCAGCCTCCGACGCCATGTGCTTCTTGTTGCTAATTGATTCCAGGAATCCACTGGATTGCCAAGACGTACTGCGCGCTGCTATCAGGCACGCATGTTCGAGGGGACACTGCAATTCGACCCGAATTCTTCCTCAAACCCGAGGTGATCGAGGCCGGGCAAACCGCGGCCGTCCACGACGACACGCCGAACCACCCGATTGCCGTTCGCTATTCGCAAGGTTTTCAGGTGAGCTGGGCAAGGTTCTTGGTGGCGTATCTCCGCCAACGCTTTTGGGCGTTCTGTCCCACTTCCGCCCGTCGGGTGCGCCGAATGCTCTTCGTGCCACAGTCGCGAATCGATGAGTGGATGGCTCAGGCGCAGAGCAGGGGGGTTCAAGTCACGGAACATGACCTCTTGATGGCGTTCGTGTATCAGGTACGGTGCCTTCCAGCCACCCAGATAGACCCCTCAAATCCATTGCCCCCCCCGCCCAGGGGTTCCCGTTTCGACACTAATTGCTCATAGTCGGCCTTCTCTCCAACCGCCAAGGAAGAGGGAGCCCACACCGGCCTCATCTTCACTCTCAACATCCAATCGCATCTCGCTTTGGCCCCAGGCGCCCTGACCAATCCTTGGATCAACGTCCCAGTTGCACCTGTTGCCCCCGCCTCATCGGCATCGGACGATCTCGTCGACATCGCTCACCATATCCGCCAGACCATTCAAGACGCCCGCAATCCCGTCTGCGTGGCCCAGATCATCGACCAACATCTGCCAGTCCGGGACACTCCGGCAGTTCCGCGTGGATACGGCTCCCGCACGCCCCGGGTAGCGCTGACCTCGTGGTGCCATCTGCCTTGGTATGGATTGGACGTCAAAGGCACGAGGCCCGTCTTTGTTCTCGGGAATACGCTGTTAAGTCGACCATTGACGACAATGGGAGTGCGGATGGACGACGGGTTGACGACGTGTAAGGCGAGGGCGTCTGCGCGAATCGGGAATGCGGATGGCGGTGGAGAGGAGGGCAGACAGGCGGGCTATTGGGTGCAGGGACGTGTGAACCAAGGTATTTGGGCGAGAATGATGGGGATGCTGAAGCGCGGTGAAGAAGAGGATGGGGTGAATGCGGATAAGATTGCGATGGACAAGGTTTGAGTGGGCGGCGATTACAAATAGGAAGGGGCCTTTGTGAGTGATCTACGTTCGGGTTTCGGTTGTCAATTCGGTGCTTAATTCTGATAGTACTTACTGTCTGCAGTGTCATTATAGGGGACGAGGTGAAGAGGCAAGGAAGCGTCAGGATCTAGATCAGGTCCGGCGACGAGAAATTAAGCCATGCTCAACCTTGGGTCATGCTCTGGGAATCGAATTGAAGGGACCTACCTAGAAATGATGAAAGCTAAAATGAAAATTCAAATGCAAGCGACACATAGGGCTTTTCATCTGGTAACTGGTAAATGGCTCGCTACCACGCTGCTTCCCGACTGCTGATCATATCAGAATCCCATAGAGAGTCCAGCCTCGACATATCTTTCATCCTTGAGTCAATGGCCTTGAATTTGTCCGAGAGCCTAGTCCTCACTGATTATCTAAGGCGACGAAGAGTCTATTGGTAATGTCATTCAAGGAACAAAACTGCTCCAGGCACTCTACTTCTGTTCCCTGTGCGTGCAGGGACATGAGTATTCAAAATAACCGCGGCACGGAAGCTAAACGAAGTGCAAAGATGGGTCTACTCCGACAGCTCTAGAATCAGGCCGTAGGATGCTACCTGTGCACGCAGACCAGGACCACTTCTTGTGACCCTTAATCAGGATTTAGTCACTCGATTTAGAACTTAGATGATATGAGTCATGGATAGCAAACTTAAGAATCAAAGATGAAAGTTCAGACAAAAATATTTACATAAGCTAGATATATAGTCGCGCTTTGTACCTTGTAAGGTAGCCTTTCCAGTATGTTTACTTGCAATTTACACTTAGTCTTGACCAGTGATCGTGGAACTGCCAACCCTCATCTGATTTAGATAACCATTTCATTATACCTGGCCGGAAAATGGCAATATTTAAAGATAAAAGCAGCAAATGAGTTACAATCACAAAAAGCGAAAACATGATATATGAAAAAGAGTAGAGGTCCTTCACATACGAATGTCTCAAGAAAACTCTATATTGAGGAATTGTGCTTTTGTGATCTATGAAATTAGGCACTGCCAGTAACATATTATTTATTCTTAATGCTTTGACCCTGTTTATCAAGAAAGTTCGAGTCACTTTCCAAGAATATTTTAATGGCAGCGCGAGCGGCAGCAAGAGGATGCATTTAAGCTTGGTACTAAAAAAAATGTAGGCATGCATCTAGCCCAGCGTCTGATATAGCGCCAAGATCTTACCCGCTTAACTATGTATATTGTTATGCTTGCGTATTTGATACAGAAAAAATTACATGAAAATATAAGAGTCACAGTGTGTATAGGGCAAAGGGGGAGTTCCTAAAACTGGGTTGTTGGAGGTTTGTTATTTGACCAGAATCAGATAATTAGCGATAGATTGATGGTATTTTCTTATCACTGCAAAAAAGATTTTAACACGCGGTATTATGTTAGTATATTTGGAAGATATCAGTTCTTTGGGCAGCTTCATAAGCGCATATTCTTCATAAATTCTTTATTTGTAGTATACTAGGACCAGCTGATATATACGAAATTAGTAGATACTTTGTAGACCGTGACTTACTCTTCCGAGAATTATTGCTATGGCACTTATTGTGCACTGATAAGATTGGAAGACAATGCTTCAGATTAATTGATTTTCATAAATATTTGTATATTATCAGAGGTGCTAACAGCAATTGGACAAAGATGAATCACATTGATTCTGGAAGTAGGAAGGGAAATAATGTCAAGAAGGCGTATAACATGCCTTCCGAGTTTGCGTCATGGGAGAAGGTTCTTACAATCAAGGACCTGCTGCTGTGCTAATCAGGGCAGTGATAGAATCCTACAGAATAGCTACAATATCATCTAGAATGACAATGCAGCAGCTAGGAGCAGTTTTAAACCCTCAAAAGCCATATTCATTGAAGCTCTGTTGGTGATACTTGCCTTTTCCGACCACATCCCCTTAATCGTGAATGTCATCGACTGGAACCAACCGCTGCAGCATATAGTCAAATGCTTGACCAAGTGTGCCTGGCAGAAAAGCAACTTACTTACAATCTAAACCTTGTATTCTGCTTGAGTGCAATCACTTTTCACCTATTGGGAGTCACATATCACTGATTTAGGTTCGATTCGTTTCGATATCCGTCTAGGGTAGAGCCAGAAATACCAAGATCTGTGGACTCTCGAGCTCTTTTGACAACCCCCTCAGAGCTCCTTCTAATCACCTAAACCTTAAAATAGATCATGAAGCCCCGTCTGATATTACGAATGATATCTGAAATCTACACGTGAGCTTCAAGATGGTCACGTGCAAATTTCCGCGAGAAAAGATTCTCTAGTACTAGATTTATACTAACACCGTTTGAGATCACGTGTTTTTCGTTTTCCGACCCCTTCGGAGCTGATAGCCTTATCCATGTCTAAGGTATCGTCACTGACCGGATGAGAAACCTGGGGCACTTTCGAGAGTTCAAACGAAAGGTGAACTAAACTTCAAGCATGATATACTCGATGGCTTGTTCAAGAGTACTTGTCCAGCTCAGATTTCTGCAGACTGGTTGTTTACATTATTCCCAGGCACTATAGTCACCGGTGCTTTATTCAGGGTTTTGTCGTTTTATACAAAATCTCCATATCTAGAGATCACAAAAGATATAGAAAGGCAGGATGCTTTGCTCTGGTTGATTTTGGTATTTATGCTCGATGAGGTAAACTCTTCTATTCCATTGTCATCGATGACAGCTCAAGCAGTAGTTGCTTGTAGACATGATAGACATGATTGGATTGAGTACTGGCAATCTAGTGCACAGTAGGAAAGTGCAAAGAAGTAAATCAAAAGCAGATGGGTAGTAGTCTGAAATCATTCTTTATGCTCGAATTGGATTGGAACGGAAAGAGAAAGGTGTATTCCTGTCAACTGATCAACTTGCTAAACTAATAGCCGGAGCGGGGTAAGAGGGGTTGGTCACTTATGTTAACAAGAATGTGGCAATCGGGATCATACCCATTGGGCACTATAAATGGCTCAGTCGTTCCTCACAATGAGTCAAAAGTTCTACGCAAATGTCCCGATCGCTCGCTGATTTTCCAAGAGATTGAGGTTCTCGGCTAGGTAAGGTTCCGGTCGCTGCTGTCGCTGCTGCTTTAATTTGATATCTTGAATCACATACAGGTTCATCATGGGATTTCAAGGGCAAGATCCATCCAAAAATTCCTCATCTGCGGTCGAGTCTAAGTACAACACACGCTATCAAGGCAGAAGCGAGACTGAAGCTGAAACAACTGTAAAAAACATAAAAGACAACGCAAAGTACTGAATGTACTGACGTTTCAACAAAACAGTAAATACTACTCCCACTCAACCATATATCAGCGACAATGTATTTTGCAAGTAGGCACTCCCCTGATCAAATTTCTTTCGACTCTCTATATCCGAGGCCTCCGGAACATATTAATCCCAACCACTAGCCTTGGTCCCTTCATCATATGTTGATGTTTTCCGGAATCATTGTTCGACACAGAACATCAACTCCCGGCGTGCATATGTAGCCGAGAGAAGAAGGACTGTATGTTGAGTGAGAGAAAGAGACCATCAACCTAGGACAAGGCGTCAGTCACCACGAAATCCAGTTCACTCCTCATGACTTAGCTCCTGGATAGGTAAAACGAACCAAAATCATCTTTGCAGCCCTTGTAAGCCTGCATTTCATAGTCTAGACAATATCGAGCGGTGTACGTCTGGAAGCAGTAGTTCCTGCACACGGCGCCTCATGTCTGTGAGGGACAATGTTGATCACCTGTCGAAGAACCAAGGAAATGAGATCTCGGCCGAGGTATTATAAACACTTGACTTGAAGTGACTTACCGCTCCGATGAAGGCAAACGCGGCCACTTGCATATATTGAGGTGGTAGCGCTGGTCGGGGCAGGGCCGGTCGGGAGTGAATTACTCTATGGCACGAGCCGAATTCACCTGAACAATTTGAACCGTTGCCGTTGAGCAAATTTGGCAGAAGAGAGTGGTCTACGATGAGTCAGCCGGCAGACGAGAATCATTGAATAGCAGGACTCAGGGCCAAGGGAGGTAGATGGTAGGAAATTGGACGTACCTTGGTTGTCGAGCGGCGACCGGCGGATTTGAGCACCGATACCTTTTATGGCGAAGCGAATACCGGGTATGCAGTTAACCAAAAGATTTAGTAGGCCAATAATGTCTCCAAATGACAGGCTCATGCTGAAAAATGACGGGCCCAAAGCTAGAACAGATGATCGCGCACAGGTCCTACCTTAGGATGTGGTTTGACTTTTTTTTTTGCCAGATATCAGGGGAAAGATATCTTTAAATCTTTGCTCAAGCGAGCAGGCGACAAGTTACATGAGCGACGATGTTGTCAATACGCGTAGTTCCCACTCTAGAAAGTAAGCGAGTGACTACACCTAGTTCCTACTTTGAGAAAGTAAGCTAGGAGTAATTCATTTTTCTTTCCTTTATTTTTTCTTTCTTTCTTTTACAAACCTGATGCAGCTAAGAGAAGTCCCATGCTGGCGTCAGCTGTGCACCTTCGGTTTCAGCCAATCTGACACAAGGGACTTTGTCTCAGCCGCAGTCATAACGCAGGGAGATAGACTATCCTAATGTAATTGGACGGGGCCAGAAGGTGATTGTCCGCACAGGCAGTTGAATGATTTCACCTCCTATTGCCGATTGGACCATGCCAGAAGATGACCGGGACTGTCACCTGTGCCTAAACGATTCTCGATTCTTGATTGGGCGATACCAAAAAGCGAAGCCCCACAGAGACAGTGGTATTGATTGATCCATTCCAGAAGATGCCATAGCCACAAACGAGGGCTTTGATCTCATCGAGGAGAGGGGCCGTGCAGATGGGCTGCGGTCACCTAAGCTAACCTGGGACAACCGTTGGGTACAAAAAGCTCACATTACCCGCCATTCTCAACCATAAGAAAACAACGGCATCTGATTACACGGTAAATCATCGATATGAGCCTGTCTGACCACCAGGATACAATTCGAAAGTTGTACCTGGATGAAAATATGAAGCTGGAAAAGTTGATGCAATACATGGAAACAAGATTCGGGATAAGGGCCAGGTACGAACCTGCTCGGCTTTGACAGCCTTACTAATTCTGCTCACAGCCAAAATGCCTATCAATACCAATTTAAGAAATGGGGCTTTCGCAAGAACAAGACCAGGGATGTGTGGATATGGGCTGATCATCAAAAGGAGACGCGCAAAGCCAGTGCAGGTCAGAAGGAGATCGAGATTCACTTTAATGGTACGGTGATCAGTGACACACAAGTTCGGAAAGAAATCGCCCGCAATGTCACCACCATGGACCGAATTCGAGCGCGCGGTATTGGTTGCCGATACTTGATAAGATTGTACATCTTACTGACAGCATGCAGCTGCCAGTCCTGCTACACCACAGGGTTATAGCGCTTCCACGCCGAATGGGTCAATCTCAAACCAGCCCCATGTTCCCGACGCAGTTACCACAGCCGAGTCAGATCTCAATGCCGTACAAAACAACGACAGTGACCGTAAAATATTGGCAGAGATAATGCGAGACAGTATCTCAGAAGACAGTGAAATCCGGGCAAATCTCTGCAAGCACTATGATCGCGCTTTCTTGGGCGGCATTGCTGATACTATGGTCGACGGTAAAAGTATTTATGAAAACATCGTCAAAGACATCGCCAATGAGATATCCAGAGGAACGGGGAATGAGGCATACAATACATACATTGGTGATGGTGTCCTCTCTGCCACTGTGAGTATTTTGAAGGCAGCATACAACGACGATCTTGCAAGTCTCCGTACTGCACTGGATTGGGGCAAACAAACAGCTCCCAATGCCTTTGACGAAATAGTATTCATAGCTCGGTTTGTGGCAGCGAGGTTTGGTCGCATGAATATAGCAAAAATACTCTTCACCATCCGGGATCATTGTGTTCAACGCGATAACGAAGAAAATACCTGCCTTCATTTAGCCGCACTTTTCAACCATCCCGAGATGGTCAAATTTCTGATAACCCGGCAATCAGACATCGAGAGTAGAAACAAAGACGGCCACACCCCATGGACACAGATTGGAAGCTCTGAGGAGCACGAGAGAGTCTCCCAACTTCTGATCGAGGCCGGCACAGATGTCAATTGTAAAGTGGATGGTACCCATCTTCTTCACGATTTTGCAGGAAGAGGCGAGGCAAATAAAGTGCTTCTCTTGCTTCAGCGGGGAGTAAACCCATGTCTCCGCGTTCAGGGATCGACTGCTCTGGTAAGGTCGAGCTCTGTGATACCAACGATTACTTTCCCAAAGTAAACTGACTTTGCTTACCCATTCTAGCAATTTGCTGTACAGAACGGGGATTTGGAAACCATTAGAATACTTGAAGAGGCTACCAAGAACTGCAACAACGTCTCGCATGAGAAAAAAGATCAGGCGGCGAAATCAAGATCGAGGCCAGACATAACAGATTACTTTCCACCTGGGACTTCAACCATTCCCATACTGAGAGATCACCATCATCCACGTCGCTCAGAGTAGTGGTTGTCAATCAATCAATACTCTCAAGGGGTGAATAATTCTAGTTCAGACTAGTCGATCCACTTTAGCTAGTATTTCACTTGTGTGAGACATCGACGATCATAGATTTCCCAGCCTGAGCTGAATACAAACCTGTTTGACAGATTGGAAGCCTGCTTTCACAACCCACCTGAAAGTTGCCTTCCGAAATTAGTCATTTCGATCAGTCCATCATCCATTGGGCTTGATATTTAGCTTCAACATAAAATTGAAATTTTAAAGATCATTGAATGAAAATAGGACCACAAAGTGTGTATACCAAGCTCTAATTGCACCACCACCGTTCGTATGTCTGTGGCTAAAACAATAATTGATTCTGCGACATGATTAGAAGGTTGAATTTTGTTCGTGATAAAATGTGACTGGGGGACACGAAAGAGATGTATTACCAGAATATCGGGGCTGGATTACATTCCTTCATGTTCTACGACGGTGAACGGGTATGAGGGAAAGATGAGCTTTGTAATGAACGGAAGAGATCTTTCTTAACGGTAGAATATTGGCTAGCGGAGTATAAGACTAGCAATTTATTATTATCTGCTAAGGCTGTGCTTGTCAGTTGGCGCCTATGAATGTTATTTCCTGACTATACCAAGACGCTTCTTGTGAACACGTGGGTCCATGATTGTGCCCAGAACTAGACTAGTGATGCTATTTCCAGGGTTTAGGTATTGACACGCAGTCTAAATATAAAAAGTAACCTAGTGTAGCAGAAAACATAAGCAGACGTGGCCGTATGGACGAGTTTGTTTTCCTGTTATCATTTGGCAAAAGTTGAACATCCTATACTAAACACATATTTCGATTGAGTGTTTAGGATTGACTTCGACACTACATAGTCTGCCAGGCTGCGCATACAATGCGGACAGTTACTCACAGGCAATAGAGACTTGGTTGACTGATCTATATAACAAATGACCAAGTCGACGTAGATTCAGCAAGGCCAGATCTAGGTCATATTGATTCCACTATGCATCGGGGCGGCTTACTAAACTAAGCAGGAAGGAAATGGTTATTGGAGTTAGAATTTGTTTGCATTAGACTGAAGATTCCAAAAACGACCGGTTTTATCAAATCCTGGCTGACCAGGGAAAGATGAGACTCACGATAGAAAGTGAATCAAGTGAAATAATGGGGTCGAGAGAAGCGTGAGACCTGGAAGAAAACCGGCGGCTACACAGTATCTGCAACATAAACTGTGCGTGTGAGCGGAATAAGGCCCCCATACTGGGCCCCATACTGGAGTCTTAAAGAACGAGTCACAGCATTGATTCAGGTGTGCGGAAGTTTCGTTGCTTGAAGTTTTCACATATTCTATATCAATTTGCATCTATGCAAAAGTCAGGCGACGCGACAGTGAGGTGTTCCCGAGTGTTGGGCGCGATGGTGGTCCGTCGCATGACATCAACAACACCCCTATTGTGTGTTATCTCTTGCTTGCTTCTCCTCCCAAACACCTACAAGCCCACACACCCCTCGCACTTTCTATTACCTCCTATCTATCAAGCCTGAACCTTGGACCTCGAGCATCCACCCCCCTCGATCATCTGCTGCTCGTGATGTCTGCCATCCTTCGCAAAACCGTCCGTATCATCAAGCATCTGCCACGTCGCTTTCCGCGTGCCCCTGGAAAGGATGACCTGGACTCCCAGCGTGAGGAGGTGTTATCCAAACTCTGGGTCACGTATAAGGCAACAAGGGCGATGGACCTCGATCAGGTCTTAATAGATCCAGAGCAATTAGCAAGACTCAGCATCCTAACCTTACCTCTCGACCTCACTGGTGACACTGACGCCAATCGTGTTGTCCCGCCTGCTCTGAATCCGGCCAGTTACTTTGTCCCGCTCACCGACGACTACATCCGAGAGCACCCCGTCGACCTTTCCGACTCGGTCACTGCTGAATGGTTTAATGATAAGGCAAAGGCACTAGATCCGGAATTCAGAGGATTCGGCAATGAACCGATGTCATCTTACGATGCTGCAGACCAACTTTCCAGATGCCTCCGTATCGAGATGTCAAGCTCACGTTTAAATTGCGAAGAGGAGACACAGAAGCTCACCTGGCTAAATAAGTGGAGAGTAACGTAAGTCTCGAAAAAACAAAACAGATTCAAAGCCTATCTTTCTTGCAAACTAACCAACCTTCTTCAGGGGCTGGTCCAACTTAGAACAGGTTTTTGAAGGGAAGGAGCTGATCCCAGGCATCGAGATCATGTGGTACCTCGAAGCACTTTATGTTTGCCGGGTTCGACCCTTGCCACCTCATGTTAAAGCGATCCTCAGCCACAGCGATGTTGATAACGCAGAGCGCAACTTGCTCAAAGCTGAACTAGAAGTCATTGTGGCGCTCATGTATTCCCGGTGGTCCGTGGAAAGCGTGTTCGATATGATTGTTCCGGTAGGTCGGGATGTCGCTTCGGTTCTGACTGGGTGAGTTAGTGCTAACATTCCTGCCCTGTCGTTGCTAGGTCCTCCTTGTCTCTTTTATTGGACGCAAGGTACGGTGTCTGATTGCCATCCACGACGGAACTCAACTTCGAATCTCGAAGTCCCCTCTCTATTCGGTAGCGAACGATGAGGTCTGGCAATATGTCGTCAGGTATATGGGTGGAAGGATAAATGAGAAGCTACAAACACAGAGGTTGCCGTTAACCGGTGTAGTCGAGAATCATATTCAGAATGCAAAGACCTGATAGGCAGGAATTCAGATTATTTAAACTACCTGTTGTGGAGAGTCCTGGCCTCCTCATCAGTCAGGCAGCTCACTGCCTTCGGCCGCCATGTTAATGTTCGCTAGATAGCTGAAACCCATTCATCTCCACGCTCTCATCACCACCTAGTCGTTAGGGCGCATTGTATACAAGAAACTCCCAGGACCTGCACCCACTATGCATTGAACCACATCCCCGCCACCCTCACGGGCAACTCATAGTCAACATCCAAGTAATACCGCCACGGACTCACATTGACATGCAGCGCGGTGCAATCATAATTGAAGACGACAGCCGCCTCGCGACCCCGCCTAAAGGCGCGGACGGCATCCACGACCGTCATGCCACCGTAGATGCTGCACGCCACGCCCGCCAAGCAGACATTGCCCGCGAACCCGAAGTCCACTGTGGCCGCTCGCCGACGCCACTTGGCCAGATCCCCGCCGCCAATCAGCCTGGCCAGAGGAGGGAAGAGGCCGATTACCGCGACCATGATGACAGCCAGGACGGACAGGGCGGCGAAGAAGGCGACGTCCGAGATCCAACCCCCGAGTCGTTGGTTGGGCCACTGGAGGCTGAAGGAGTGGAGCAGCGACGGGGTCGCGCAGATCTGCGCGGGCGTGCAGGTTGTGGTGCCGGGGGCCGTGGCGAAGCGCGCCTCCAGGCAGTCGTAGGCCGGTTTCGGCGTGCCGGGCGTGTTGCGGAAGTGCAGGGCGCGGAGGCAGAGGTAAGCTGACGCCGCCCACTGCAGCGTGGCCACCGCGGTGAGCGTCCACCGGATGATCTGAGCTTTTCGTGGAGCACGGCGAAGCACGCAGAAGTAGGGGTGATACCGGGTGATGTAGCAGTATTTCCAGAGTGTGATCCAGCCCAGCATCGAGGGGGGGGAGTAATATGCCGGTCGCACGGCGAACCGGCCCAGCCCTACGCACCACCAGACGAAGGATCCCAGATCCCAGGCGAGGATGACCCACGTGTCCCATTCGATGCCCCGACAGGGCTGTCCTTTCTTGCTGTACAGGGCCTGGTGGAGCTTGTTCACTTGCCAGGTGGCCATGAAGAAGGTGATGGCCGTCTTGTTCCAGGTGTCGAGCGCGGTCGGCCAGAAGGCCGAGGGCCGGGGCATAGAGGGAATGATCTTGAAATCCTGAAAACAACTCATGACCTCGCACCAACTCTGGCTTGAGTGGCGCAAATGGGGACGCAGCAGAGCCAACACACCCCCTGGCTCACTACGCAGACTCTCACGGATGACGGAACAGTTGGACGGTAAGGCGGATACGGGTGTGCTGATGCATTCTTTGAACCCGGTGTTCTTGTACAGAGCATAGTCAGGATTGTGGGTGCTGAAACTAGTGTTGTCTGTTTCGACGGCTAGTAGGATGGTCAGGACAATGCTGAGGCCTAGGAAGGACCCCAGAAGCAGAAGGCCGGACCATATGATTCCCGTGATGATGTATCGGTTGCGTTTCGTCGTGGATTTTGGTGGGAACGCCGGGTATTTGCACTCGGCGTCGATGGGTCCTTCCACTGGTCAAAGCTTAGCCCTGGAACCCCGAAGATCCTTGGGCCCCGACAGTACATTACACACCCTCATCCTGATTATCGGAGTCTTGCACTGCGCGATACTCCAAGCCGTAGAAGCGTTGGGTGGGTGACATCTCGAAAGGGCCCACAGTGCCCGATCTTGCCGGAGGTTTTGAGAGGGTGATGATTAACGAACGACTAGACTTTGGCATCTGGCCAGCAAAGACTGAATATATAATATATGCTGGCAGAGGCGCCCGCGCGCGTAGAGCCATGTGGCTCAGGTCGCGGGCTAAACATAGCCCTAAGTTGTGCCAAGCATCCTCCGTTGGTTCCTGAACCCGTTAGCCCTCCAATCGTGGCTTCTGCTTGATGAGGCCAAGATCTCGGCGTGATCACAGCCCTGCTGCGTAAGGCTCCATAGCCTTGGCTGGGCTTGGCTGGTGCTCTTTAGGGCTATAAGTCTGGCAGTTAAGCGACTAGAAGTGACGGGGGCCAGGCGCCAAGAAAGCAAATACGAGAGGAGTGAACGGCACGGTCCGATCTATGTGTTGTCGGCGGCCCTTCCTCCACTGCACCAGATCCTCGTTGTGGGAGAATACCCTCCTGCCCTCAACCGTAGACTTAAGAGAACTTGGATGGTATAGCTTCCCATACTTGGTGCTGCTGTAAATTATCTGAAGGGGTTTGTCAAGTGTTTGTGCTTGCCCGAGGGATATACATCGTTTTCAACTTGCACCTTATGTGAATACTGATCTAATTCCATATTTCTTACCGTTCAGCGGCTACATAATATATGGCTGCGATACTGCCGTTCACGATTACCTAGTATTGACCCCCCCCTTTTTATGAAGGATATCAAACCTGTCATGACGGACACGCTTCCGTGGCTCCTGCCAAAGTTGTTAGCCCGTTCAATCCGGCACGGTTTGCACTGACCTCCGCTTACATATTGACGAACCTTGATGCCTGCCAGGATTGTACCGGATAGCGACAATCGATATTACCGACAAGGCCTGGACGATATCAGAGGACTTGGTCGACTTCAGTATCGATCTCAAAGATGCCAACTCGATCAGGCGGAAAGACCAGGGCGATTTTGTTCCCGCGCACTGAGGGCGTGGAAGCTGTGAGCTCAGGGTTAAGGGCAAGAATCGTCTTCCTTCCATTCATGATGTACAAGTCACGGCAATATAACCCGGACCCAGATCCATCCACATCATCATCATTCGATAGAATGGAGGCGATAGAGAATCGCCCCTGGCTGGTTGAGAGGAAGCGGTCTTCATCCGTGAAGCTGATCCAGCTAATACCGCCTGGACACGGGATTTCTTTCAACTTCTGTATTGTTGCTGTATTCCATATGGTGATTTTCCTGTCTGCGGAGGCAATCAGCTCTCCATTTGCCGAAAAAGCTAAACGCGAGAATGATCCCTCATCCTTCAAGGTGTGTATGATAGTTCCCGCGGAGGTATACACCCTAATATTTCCAATCGTGGAGACAGCGATTGTGCTGCCGTTGGGCGAAATGACTACATCCATAGGCTCCCAGGGTGTTCTCATATCCACCTTGAACTCGCGGAAAGCTTGGTTCTTTGCCAGATCCCATAAGGTTATCTGTACATAGAGCCCACGTTCGCCTATTTTTTTCCACGCTAATGCAAGCAAGGTCTTGTCCCGTGATAAGTCGATACCTAGATATTCAGCATTTGAGAGCTGAATACTGGCCAGAAGTTGTCCGGTTGTTACATCCAAGAGTCGAATTTGCCCGTCATTCGAAAAAAGTATGAGCATTCTGCCGTCGGCAGAAAAGTGCGGACGACGCCGGATACCAGTAAAAGCTGGGGTTCCAAACTGAATCTCTGTATATTCTTCGGCATATGCTTTCCACAGTCTGACTCCATTTGAACTAGACCAGGCAACCGTATTCCCCTCCGGTGAAACTTCCACCGAAAAGACTGTACCATCGTCAGCACTCTGACTCTGTACCTCTCGTGCGGACACTTCCCAAATCGAGACACTCTCCAATCGACGTGATGCAATAAGCCTCCCATTGGGCGAAATAGCAATAGCTGTAACGTACGGGGATTTGTGTTTGATCTGAGCACACGTGGTCCGGATGTTCTTCCACACACCATCATCACCGTTGCCCATCATGCATGTCGCAACTGGGCCGGATTGATGAAAGAAGAATTCACAATTTCCGTAGGCACTTATATCCTCGAGAGGCCACTCAATCCCCTGTCTTTCTGTCTTCATGGTCATCCAGGTCCACCTGGAAACTGTCAGATCTTCGTGAGCAATAGCAACGGCCGCAGTGTCGGCCAAAAATACTGCTTGCAGAATACTATAACCAGTATTTATTTCATAATGCTCGTTGTTTTTCGAGTCCCATAATTTGACGTAGCCATCGGAGGATGCAGATAGCAAATGTCTTCCGTCACGGGAGAAGGACATGGATCTCATGTTAATACCATGGACAGCATAATAATTGTAAACAACTGAGCCTCGGTTTTGGTCGAAGACGTTGACATGCGATGTATTATCCACTATTGCAATGAATCGGCCATCGTCGGAAACAGCTAGATTAGTTTGCAACAACCGAAAAGCTGTGACACCATGTGAGAGCTTGGCTAAGATATTACCAGTTTGTCCGTTGGCTATAGTCATGGTGTTGTCGTCCAACAAACAGACAAGCTCCCTTCCATCGCCTGAGAACTGAATCCCAACAATCCTTTCCAATTGGGCTTCGAGATCCATCCATTTCCTGTCACACACATGCCATAGCCGAGCATTTCCATGTTCGAAGATCACTGCCAAGCTCGTACTGTTTGGAGAGAAGATAATTTTCAATGGGCTGGAATCGGCCCCATTGATCTCCAGGACGCACGTCCATGTGGCTGTCTCGAATAGCCAAATCTTGAATGAGCTGATCACTACTAATAGTTTATTGTCAGGAGAGAACTCCACTGAGCGGACCCATGCCAGTATGGGAAGGCTATGTGAATAAGCATCCCAGTCGCTTTGTGCCACCGAAAGCTGTGTTATCCAGGCCGGAATCTCCTTTCCGAACAAATTTCGGATGATGCTGTTTTGAGGGGCACATGTAAGAGCCGATATATAGATTTGTAGGGGCATCTTCTCAATGTGCATCCTGAAGTTTGATGTAAACTTCCTAGCATCAAAGAGGAACTTGCCCATTCTCTCGCTCATATTCATCTGGGTTCATCAATATACGTTGCCTTTTATGGGTAAGCAAAACACTTACTGATGTGAGAACCCTGAATATTTTGATTACGTGCGGCATCATTTCCATCAGACACATTGCCTCCAACCAGTGAGTAAAATGGGCTTGAAGAAAATCCAGAGTTCGAGCTTCGTCCGCGGACGATGCATCACCGCTACGCTCAAGATGCTCCACCCAATAGATACAGGCATATCGCACACTGTCCGGGAACCGCTTTTTATTCTCCGATGACTCCAGGTTTATCTGGGACAGCTCAATGCCAGGTTCCCGGAGGCAGCAGATATCGCGTCGCAGGTAGCGCGTCATCAAGTCCAAGCAATATGCGAAGACAACGTGATTCCGCTCTTTCTCCTCCAAGTAAAACAGGTCATTCTTGCATCTTGAATGATCAAGAAGGTAGTCTCGAAAGGACAGGTGGACAAGTTGGATATGTTGGTGTGAATCCTGTGGCACTTCAATGACCGAACGTAATTGCTCCAGAGCCCATTCTATGTCGTGAATGTTGCAGGGAATGAGGTGGCCTAAGTCTATCAGAGACATCGGCTGCGATAGGACTATGATACAGCCCACGACCTGTTTGAACAAACTTGACATCTCCGCATCATTGTCGGCTTCTCCGGTGAGAATGATTTCGAGAATTCTGGTATACATCTCATCGAGATTGTTACCCTTTGAGTTTCCATCGAATTTATTGCCCAGGATAGTTTCGAGTCGACGCTGAATGGTTTGCTCCGTAGCCCCACGCAAGAACCGGCAGACCGTGGTAGCATAAATGAACAGACCTTCGGTCTGGACGACGAGCTGTCTAAGAGACTGGGTGCCCGGCCAGTCTGCAGGCAGGCGGGGATGACTCTTTTTGATCGCAATCATCTCGTGTTTCACCAAGCGAGTGATGTCGTCTTCTCGATCATCGGTGTCGTTGACGAGTTTCACCTTCTCCAACGTCTGGTCGTGAATGTCCTTGGAGAGACTTCTGCTGTGGCGTTGCATGTCGGCTTCCGGTCGACTGGTGATAAGAACACGTATCCGCACCAAGTGAAGCTTTTGTATCTGACTCAACAGCCCTAATATCACCTCCACATCGTTTTCGCAGTTATTGGCCTTGACCTCGCATTCATCCAGGGCATCGATGACAACGATGACCGTGTCTCGAAGATCACTTTGGAGCATGGAAAGGGGCTCCCAAATCAGGTACCTCCACTGATCACGGAGTGTTCTTTGTTGGATATCATGATGATTGGAAATTGCGGCGCAAACAGACTCCTGGATCTCCGGGATCACTTCAACCAACTGACGAGCCAATGTCGGGAAGAGGTTCCGGGGGTCCTTACAATCCTGCTTTTTGTGATCGAAGAAGAAACTACCCCCAAGGCAAACATTGTCAGGGAGAGCACCGTGGTTCGTTAACGAGGTTCCATTCCGAAATGATGCGGCCGCAGTTCGGGCGATTGTAGACTTGCCGGTTCCTGCCATTCCCTGGAGCCACAGGATGGGCTTCTCTTCAGGGCCAATGCTCCAGTTTTGAATCTTCTCGAGAACAGCCACCTGCGTTCCTTCAAGACAGGTTCCTTTATCTTGGTCGTAGAATCCATAGGCTGCACCAGTCACACAGGTGATGGACTTGAGTAGCGTTTCGTTGCGGTGGATCTGGTTGACTGGTCAGTCTTGGCGAAAGGAGGGCTCTTTGCATGTCTCACATTCATATCCTGCTTGATTCCACAACTCAAAGACAGCGATTCGTCCATCTTTTCCTGCAGTGACGAAACTGTTTTATCAATATGCAGAATGGTCTTTTGCGACCATTCTGCCAACATAGTATGGATTGACCCGTCGGTCTGCTTGATCTTTGTGGTCATTCCAAGCCAATCATCGGCAGTCACCAGGTCTCTGATTCCCTGAAACAACCCCGACCGTGAGAATTGCCTGGCGAGTCGTATCTGATACTCTAGGACTTGCGTATATAGGGCAATGGTTTGCTCTCGAATGGAGCTACAAAAACTGTCGACGCTAGTCATGCTAAGTCTTAGTTAGCCGTAATTCTCTAGTCTCGACAGACAGGTATCACCTTTCACTTTGAACAGGTGGTACGATGAATACCTGGAGATGAGAGCCTTGGATGATTTGATATCGAATCAACAATCTGGAAATGAACTCGATACCATTTGCTGCTTCTTCGAGCTGGGTAAATGGCTTCAAGAGTAGCTTGTTTAAGAGTCAGTTGATGAGATCAAAATTCTGCAGGTTAATACTCACAGGAAGCACAACCAGGACACCTGCCCAAGCAAGAGAGGCATGAGGTTCCGCGCTAACTGCCTGCGATATGACATCCTTGACAGACAAAACAATCTGGACGATGCGCTGAACGTGATTCCCGATCGCACTGTGACGACATCTTCTGGGTATGACGAGCTGGCCATCCTCCAATCTTTGAAGAGCTTCGCGTACAAGCTGCTGATGCACTTGTTTATCTCCACTGCGATTTTTGTTGGACACTTCGGCCAGATCCTGCTCATACGCCGCAACCAGGCGCCCCTCCTTTTCTCGCAATTCCTCGAGGGCGACTTGCCATAGATTTTTCATCACCAACTCTTCTAACGTCTTCGTGGACTCCCTCAATGAAGCAGAGTTTGCTCTAGGAGTCTCAACGCGATCAGATGCGCTTCCTGGCCGACTAGGCACATGGCCATGATGAACTGGTTCAAGACAACTGGACCTTTCGCCCCCCGTCCTCTTCGGTATCTCATCATCGTCATAGTGCCGCGAGGAGAACTTCGTTCTCAACCGATCCTTTATCGACCTTTTCTCCTTGGAATCGCTGTGTTCCGGTGTTTCATGTTTTCTCTCTGAGCTGTCCTGGCCCCAGGCCCGAATACGTCTCATTGCGATTTGCTCGCCGCTTTCCACCGTTATTTTGTCTGATATACACGCTTTCGGCTGGTCGATCAGACAGAGTTTGGGATTGAGGGGTATTGAGAGGGGAACCAAGACGGTTTTGCTGTCTATGTGTGTGTGTGTGACGTGTCAGCTCCGCTTCTGATCCCTGTCCATCATGCACCTCGAATGGGTATAAGTCTATAGTGGTGTGGTAATTGGCCAGGCACGGGCGACCATTGCGGCTACTCGGCCAATGGAGATTTCCTCCTTCAGCATGCCTACTGCATCCTTCTTGAAAGGTGGCCGCGTTCTCCATCTATGAGAACTGAAGTACAAATGTATAACTACCAGCTTGAGGGGGCTGAGGTTACGACGCCTTCCCCGCCCCCCGAGAGGATCTCGTCACGTGATTAGATAAGCTCCTCTCGTTAACCAAGGCTACTTGAGGGTACTTCCAGTCCGAAAGTATCTATTTCAGAGTCTGCTATTCGGAAATAGTACTTCCTAGCTTACCTATTAAGGTTATCAGGATTAGTATATAGGCCAAGCTAACTCTGCCGGTAGACTTGAAATTTGCCGAGCAGCCGCAATGGGCTTCTGTAGCTAGAGTCAGGCTCTCCCCGCATGTTCTTCCCCGGCTTTCTACTCGGTGGTTCCCAGACTAAGCTCTATCGAGTAACTCAACCGAGGAGATTCGAAGATAAAAGTTGGAGGTTAGCGAGATCCCCACGCATCCAGTCTAAACCGTCAAATTGCGTGCAGTTACGTCCTCCACACCTCTCGGACCGCTCCCCCAACACGTGCATCGCGAGCCCAACCACCCTACGTCTGCATCATCCGTCTCGGCGACACTATCCAGAACATTGCCAATATTACCATCGCATTTGTGTTCAAACTCACCGCCTAGACGGGGTGCATCGCCGTCTTGGACCCGGCAAATTTGCCGTCCTTCCGAACAGTGATATGGTCAAGATCCCTGCGTGCGAGCGGACGGCCTGCATGCTGACGCATTTTGAGTTAGAAAACGGAACGTCATAGGAATTTGCGGATTATTATGTTACTAAGGTCGGACACAATATGGCGTTGAATTTGAGATAAAATCATTCCGCGGCGGCGGTGCCGTTGGATGTAGTCTGTTTCTTTAGATTGGGGATTGGCATGAGACGAAAAAGGAAGAGTTAAATTGGAAGATCAAGGAAGGCTTGTGTTGCGTATGCAGCAGGGGGATGAGTCTCGGTTGTTGTGCCTCCCGCTTGGCCAAGCTATCCAGAAGTTATAAGGCAGATTGTTAGCGTCTTGTTCTCTTTCTTATTCCGACCCGCACTGTAGGAGTTCTATTAGATGATTGATTATGTACAAAGGAGAGCAGTTGTGATGGGCGAGGCCGGACCTTTCTATGCATTTCCGAAAGCATGTCACCAGATCCCACTTTCCCTATTACAGATACATGATAACAATGGTGGGACAGAAGAAAAAGCATCGATGGTGGATGTGGCACACAACTAAGGAGTCTCAAGCTCCGATGGCCTTTTCGACCCATCCAATTCAGTGGGTGCTGGTCCGCCAAAGTGCTGTGAACTCGGTACGAGTAGCTGTTGGGTATAGATTTGCGCCGACTGGCTGGCGTTGGGCGCTGACAGACCAGCACGCCCTGCGGTTGCGCGCCTCCGCTCGAACAATGCCCATGCGATCGACGCCAGCGCAATCACCCCTAATGGTACTCCGACCCCGGCGCCAATGGCAGCGTCATGGCAAGAAGCGCCTTTCGTACATGATGCCGTCGAGCTGGCGAGTGATGATGTCTCATTCGACGAGCAGGACGTCGTCGTCGTCGTCGTCGTAGCATCGAGCGTCGATACGTTGGCCAGCATCGCGTAGCCAACCATTGCGTGCCCGGTCGGAACCTCAAAAGAGCTGGCATTGTCGGGACAGACGACTGACGACTCATTGTTGGCGACGGGCGTCCCGCAGCAGTAGGTTGATACTCCATTGTAGTACTTGAGGTTGATGATCGAACAGCCGCCGGTGGGGTTGTTGTCCTCTGAAACACGGTCAGTGTGATGCCCCATCAAAGAGCTTGGAGGCGTGGAGAGGAGAGAGGATTTCCCGCCCCTCGCCCCCTTGCTCGGGTTGACAACGCACGACAATATTGGGAACATCCGGTGCTCCACTGTGGATCGGTGCAGGCGCCTCTACTCAGGACGTATGGTTGATGGGTTACACTCAGGCAGAGCCCGTTGGAGAGGCAGAGATCGGTGCTTCCACAGCACGAAGTGTACTCGTCAGATGAGCAGGGTACGTTATCATCAGCTATCGCGCCTGAGGGGTAATAGCAAACGCGAGTGTCGTTAGTCATGGTGCCAGGGGTATTGTCATTCAACGGGCGCACGAAGAAGTTGAATGCAACGTTGCAACGGGTGGGAAAGGCTGGGTTCTCCTTTTATCATGGTGTGCTAACTCGATCGGCAAGGCTGAGCCGTCTGGCAGGATTTCCACTTGCGACTGGGCCAGGATTTAGCGCGATTGGGTCAGAAATTGTGGAATTGTGGTCTACGCTCAGACCCATTCAACGGCCGTGTTGCCAATCGTTATCTGTTATGAGCTTGGACTAGATCAAAAATTTGCCTAGCTTAGAGATTGCTATAGTTGAGGAGGACTCTTGAGGGCTAGTCACAATAGATGTAACCCTAACCCAGCCAGAGCTGTGAAGATTTGAAAATCGAAGTCGGCGTGATATAGCCTCTAGCAGTCTAGCTAAGCAACCTTTAGCCTAGTTAAAGCTAGCACCACACTAAATACTGACCTAGCAGCCACTAATATGCACCTCACCGCCCTGTCGCACCATTTCCGAGAGGCTTGCCTCATGGCATGTTTGCTTGGTTGCAAGAAGCGGCAGGGTGTGGGGAATAATGGTGGGTCAGCTGAATTCCCTTGACGTGTCAACATTCAGGACTATATTATAGTCCAATCTCCGGATTCAGCTACAAAATCTATCTGTCGTCTTCAATCAAAAAAAGTCATACATGCATTAGAGCGTTTCGTCCCGCGTGCCTTGTGGCTGTGAGAGGAAACGTGTGTGTATTAATTAAGGTGTCTACAGCTATATAACTGGTTCTCTAAAAGATAATAAGATCTAAGATCACGTGATTCTAGATATCTGTTATATTCTTTATAAATAAGAAGGTCGCTACTAAGTTATATATAAAAAAAAAGATATAAGACTGCTCGCATTTCCGAAACAAAAAATAAATAAAATATAAATATATAAATATTAGATAAGATCTATTATACTAAACTATTTAATAAAATAAAAATAAATAAGATATTTAAAAGACTTTATAAAACCGTCGGTTGTTTAGTTTATTATATTAATATAAATAAACTTAATATTTTTAATATATACTTTATACTATATAAAGTACTATTTAATAAATATATATTTAGTTTTTATATAAAATTTAGAATTTTTAGCTAGAATAATAGCAGATTAATTATTAGCGCAAATTATAGTAGACTTAATTATTAATATAAATATAGTTTTAAAATATTAAATATCTAATTTAATAAATAGAAATTAAAGTTAAAAAATTTTTTAAATTATAACAGTTTAAATAATATATTTACTTTTAATAAAAAAATAATATAATAGCAGTCTGTTTCTTTAAACTTTAGAAAATAGATTTATTAGTAAGCTAAAAGATATAACCGAAAATTAATATAATATTAAAAATATAAAAATTAATTTAATTGGTATTATAGTAGCTAATAAAATAAGAATCTTTATATTTATAAAAAAAATAATAATATAATAAATCTATAAAATAGTATTAAATAAGATTTATAATTTAAATATATAATTTATTAGAATTTATTATAAAAAATAACAACTTACTAGTTATATATATAATATTAAAATATATATTAAATATAATTTATATTAAAGTATTATTATATTTCTAGTATAATTTAATATTATCCAGCTGGATAGTTTCTATATATTTAAATAAAAAGTTTTTATAGTTAAAAAATATAAAAAAAACTTTATATATTAATATACTAAAATATTTTAAACAGTTTTTAATATATAACTTTTATAAAAAATATATACTATTATTAGTTTATATAATATTAATATTAAAAAAATAAGAATAAAAACTGTTATTAATAAATTTAATAAGATTATTTAGTAGATTTTTAAAAATATTAATTATAAAAATATCTAATACTAAAAATAGAATATTATTAATATAAATAAATATATAAAGATTTTTTTTAATAAATATAAAATAGTCTGTATAAAAATATTTAAAGCTGTTTACAGTAAAAAAATTATAAAATATATTATACTATTTATATAATACTTATTTTAATTTATATAGTAATTTAATAAATATATTATATATATTATTTTCTTAAAAGTTTTCTAATAGTTTAATATATATTAATTCGCGTAGTTCGGTATTAAAAAAACTATAATAATATTAAGACTATATAATATCTAATTAAATATAATAGTAAAAATAAAAAAAATTTTAAAATTAATATTTTTTATAATAGTAGTATAAATCTTATATATTTAATAGTTTTTACTAGTATATTAGTAAAAGTTTTTAATAATAAAACAGGCTTTATATATATTATTATATTTAATTTTTTACATTTATTTAAAAGATAGAAGTCGGAATTTATAAAAATATAAAATAATATAAAAAATATTTTATTTAATCTATTATTATATTTTTTAATAGATAGTATTATATTATTTAAAAACTTTAATACAAGCTATAGTATTAGTATAACTAATAAAAATATAATTAATATCTTATAGTATTAATTTTTTTATAATAAAAAATTCTTTATAATATAAAAGTAGATTTATAGTCAGCTGTATAGCTGTAGTATTAAGAAATAAAATATAAATAAAATAATTATTAATTAAAAAATAAAATAAAATATTAATATAGAGATTCGGATTATTATTAATATTAATAATATAAAATTATAGTAATTTAAATAAAGTATAAAACAGTTTTTATATATAAATTAAATAATATAACAGTTTTTAAA